AGTAATGAGTTTTTCAGAGAAGAAGGAAAGGGTATGAAAGTTTTGGAGGGAGGCTTTTTGAAGCGTGTTCCCACAGACGGCGCCAATTGATGATGCACGATCTGGCCGGTCTTAGCTGTTGACGATCTTGCCTCTGGAGTGAGTAACAGGAACTTGAAATGGGAGAAGAGAAGCTCCGGGGAGAACCCGRCGTAAGGGCTCCGAAGCTCAAGTTAGAATCCTTTAGAGGCAAGAATAACCAGATAGCGTGAGAGTTAACATACCTCGTCCCTGGGGGGTAGAAGCCTTTTATAACCACCTCGCGCACTCACTTCCAGGCCTCCGTCAGGTCGGGCATKATTACTTCTGAACTCCTGCCAGTTCGGGTGTCATTTCCTCTGGTCGGACAGAACCGCCACTGTTCCTTTTGTCGGAGCCGTCTCTGCGGCTAGTGATGACGGTTGTAGGTGGCGGTGGCAGGATGCCGTTTGAAATGCGGCTGTCAGGCGTCAGATCCCAAATCAGTCAAGTACGTCGCCCTTGGATAAAGACGTCCTTGGTGTCGGGTATGTTTGGCTGGCCTGGTGCTTTGGAAGTGAAGTGTTGGAGTGGCGAGCGAGGTGCCTTGAGTTCGGTTTGGAGTGTTCCGAGCTGTCACGGGTCTGCTGGGGCCAGCTTTGTGAGGCTTGGGGCCCAGTATAGTTCGTGCTCCTTGCAGGGAGCTCGGGTTCTCAATAGGGAGCTCGCTCTTGACAGGGAGCTCAGGCTCCTAGTAGGGAGCTCGGGTTTTAGGGAGCTCGGGCTCCTAGTGCCGAGCTCGGACTTGGGGAGCTCGGACCTTTGACAGGGAGCTCGCACTTAATCAGGGAGCTCGGGCTCCTAGTAGGGAGCTCGGATTTAGGGAGCTCGGACTCCTAGTACCGAGCTCGGACTTGGGGAGCTCGGACCTTTGATAGGGAGCTCGCTCTTAATCAGGGAGCTTGGGCTCCTAGTAGGGAGCTCGGGCTCCTAGTACCGAGCTTGGACTTGGGGAGCTCGGACCTTTGATAGGTAGCTCGGATTTAGGGAGCTCGGGCTCCTAGTACCGAGCTCGGACTTGGGGAGCTCGGACCTTTGATAGGGAGCTCGCTCTTAATCAGGGAGCTCGNAGCTCGGATTTAGGGAGCTCGGGCTCCTAGTACCGAGCTCGGACTTGGGGAGCTCGGACCTTTGATAGGGAGCTCGCTCTTAATCAGGGAGCTCGGGCTCCTAGTAAAGAGCTCGGACTAAGTACAGCGGTCTGGAGTTTGGGCTCGGTAGTGAGTTTGGACTTGCTTCCGATGTTTGCTTTGGGTGCTCTACTGTCCCGAGCTGCTTGCCTTTGCCACGTGTCGAGCGATCGCGAGGCCGGGCCAAATTTCCCTTCATCAGATATATTTATATTAAATTATATATTATCAATAAAAAATAATTATATTGAAATGGAGATATTCAATGATATATTATTAGGCTACATAATCTATTTCAATTTAAAAGATAATTAATTTTTAAGTTAATTAATTAAGTAATTTATATTTTTGAATAAATATTATTTAATTAACTCAAAAAATTAAACTAATGTTTTAAAAATCAACTTGGAGGCTTAATAGTTTTTGCCTCTAGGTCATTGGTCAACAATTCAACAATCTGGGTTGGACAAATTAAACCATGACACATCATCCACCTGTATATGTATAATATGATATAATATAATTACATTTAGTGTGTCTGTATATATTATTTTAGGTTTAATTTGTACTTTTTTATTTTAGTTTTTCATTTTTTTTATAAATGAAAGATCCTGAAATTAATATTTAAGACCATAAAATGGGTTTTTTTATATAGTGGGGTTATAAAGATCATGAAAAGTTACCCAAAATAAAAAAAAGATCACCCCAATCAGATAAGTGAGCACAAAGTTATGCCCTCTAGAAGTTTTCAATACATTGTATATTGTAACCCATCATCTAATAACTAGATCAAGAAGGGTCAATGGTTTAACCACATAGGTTGAATGAGTTTTGACCAAATCAATGGTTTTTGACAAAATAGTAGGTTTTGTGAAACTTAGAATTAGAAATATGTTCAAGTGATGGTTCGAATGGTTTAGCTATCTAAGTCAACAATAGGTTGAAAACATTGGGCAAAACATCATAAAATTTATAATATATTTATATTTCATTTGAAATAATAAAAATAAATCAACCATAGTAAAAATAATTTATCAAGTTACTTAAAGAAGATAAAAATAGTTATTAATTATTATTTTATTAAAAAATATTTATATTAATATAATAGAAAACAAATAAACTACTAAAATGTAATAAGATAATTAAAAACTAACTTAAATATAGTTTAATTATTTATTAGTTTTATAAAAACTAACATCCATTACAATTATTGGTTTTATAATTAACTTTTAGAAACAAACTTAAATTCCATTAAAAATAATATGATTAATTAAAATTTAAAAGGATTAATAAAAAAATTAATAAATTTATTAATTGTAAGTATAGTTTAATTAATTTAAAATCAACTCAAATTCTATTTAAAAATAGGAAAAATTAAGAAACCTCCTTAGATTTTCTAACAATTTTATGAACCTTCTATATATATATGTTTTGACCTTAACAAAAACCTCCTATATTGTTTTAAAAAAAGGAGTAGATAGTTTCCTTCCATTAGCATTTGAAATAGAAAATATTGATGTAATGCATTAATTTTCTTTAAATTCCAAATTTATCCTTAGCCTTTATTACAAACCAAAAAATATTTTGGTAAAAAATATTTGTACATAAAAATTATACAAAATATAATTACAAACCATAAAATTTTAAAAGAATAAAAAAATAGCAGTAAGATACAAATGGTGAGCCTATTCGAATAATCTAGACATAACCCAAGAACTTCATCTTGGGTTAGATAAAGCTAAATCAAACAATGGTGAGCTTATTCAATGAGTCAGGCTAGGTTCTAAGTATGGCTATCAATGGGCTGGGTCTATCAACAGAGCATAACCGATTGAATTGATAATGCTAGTTATGCTTATGTGATTTTCTCTCATTTAATAATCGAGTGGGAATCATTTATTATTGTTTCGAATGTTATATTTTATGTCCAAAAGGATAACTTTTATAGATTGTATATAAGATAATTTGACTAGAATATTTAATTAATTAATTTTATTAAAGTTATATTATCAAAAATAAAGTGTTAAATTGTTATTATTATATCTCAAATATAATTGAGTCATATCTAATTGTCCCCATTAATAAATAGGATGGTTCTTTACATGGGCGAACTAGGTTTAGTGGTTGGCTGAATTTTAAAATTTTCTAACCCAACCCAACAAATGATTTCCCATTGATTTTGAAATTTGAAATTTTGGGATTGATCTTGCATTAAATCGGATCAGATTTGAAACCCAAATTAAAACTGATTATACCTTATACGAAGACCACAGTGTGCAATTCCCAGAGTAGTAATTCATGCCCAATATTAGTCCCAAAATTGGCCTCCAACTGAAAATGGCACTGTATATGTGAAGTCGATTCAATGACACAGTTTCAACAAAACCAGTTTCCAACTTGTTTGGATCGATGTGGGTGTGTGTACCTGATATCCTCTTATGTTTTTCTTGCAAAAACACAGTAGGGAACTGATGGAAATCAGCCCCTGACTCAATCAACTTGGCAGTTACACATAAAAGATCCTTGGATTTAACCATCCTATGAAGACTAGTCCCACTTATGGACTGGTATAACCTATCTTAAATCAGACTAGTCCCACTTATGGACAAATCAAGTGCCAAAGATGAACAGGTTTACTCTAAATGACTTGATTGACCAATGCTCGGTCAATTTTCTCTAATGGAGTCCAAAGAGGTTTCCATGGAGTTGGTCTATTTGGATGATTTGTTAGGTATGAATTAAGCAAGGGAACAAGTAATATTTGCATAAATTTGATGGGCTCACTACCTGATCATTATCAAAACAATGAAACATATGAAACAGTTTGCTTATAATCACACTCATGACTGCAGCTCAACTCTTGGGTTTTGATGATTATATTCCACCATATGCAACTACAGGAGGCCAGGATCTCCTCAAAGGTGTAAATTTCGCGTCAGCCGCTGCCGGGATAAGAGATGAAACTGGGAGGCATTTTGTAATGGTTCTTTTCTCTTTAATCTTTTAATTTCAAAATTAGGTCACTAAGCAGTAATTAAACAATAGTTTTTTTCTCTATTTCATAGGGTGATCGGATCAGCATGAATAGACAAGTAAGAAATTATCAATCTGTGTTCTCTCAAATCGTTGAAATACTTGGAGATGAAGCTTCTGCAAAAGACCATTTAAGCAAATGTATCTTTACAGTAGGAATGGGTAGTAATGACTACCTGAATAACTACTTCATGCCTTTGTATTATACAACAAGCCAGGAATACACCCCAGAACAGTACGCAGATGCCCTTATTCAGGAGTACACAGGGCAATTAAAGGTGAGTAGGGTGTTTGTTTTTGGCCTAAATGAACTCTTATTCTTTTTATACTAGTAGTCCTTTGAATTGAGAGGGCTAATTAAATATCTCATAAGTAACACTAACACAATTTTCTTTGCTGTTTTTGGATCAGACTTTGTATAACTATGGAGCAAGGAAGGTATCCTTGTTTGGAGTAGGTCAGATTGGTTGCACCCCAAATGAATTGGCTAAAAATAGCCCAAATGGAGTGACTTGTGTCGATAGAATTAACGTCGCAAACCAGATGTTCAACAACAAGCTTAAGGCTCTCGTCAACGATTTCAACAACAATCTAGTTGGCACGAAATTCACCTACATAAATGCCAATGGGATTTTTGAAGATATGTTGAAGAATCCTTCAGCCTATGGTACAGAATCTCATGCACAAAAATTCTTAATCTTTCTCTTGTTCCATGCATATATATGGTTTGGTTAAGGCAAATCCACATGGAGATCGATCGACTATTTATGAGCATTGCCCCTATAAATATGAACATGGAGCAATGATCAGGACCATTAGATTTAGATAAGCCCCATGTAATTGATTGGTGATGGTCATAATCATCTGATTCATCCAGCATTGGCAAGAAAATAGGTGGGGGTTAGCCTATTTTCCTCCACAAAGATGCATAAATGGGATTTTGACAGTGATTCAGTGGATAATGGTTTTATGTGTTTCAATTTCTTCAGGGTTTACTGTCACAAACACTGGATGCTGTGGGATGGGCCAGAACAATGGTCAAATTACATGTCTTCCTCTTCAAACTCCATGCCAAAATAGGAACCAGTATCTGTTCTGGGATGCCTTCCATCCAACTGAAGCTGCAAATGTGATTGTCGGTGGGAGGTCTTACAGAGCTCAGTCTTCCTCTGATGCTTACCCAGTTGATATCCAACACTTGGCTCGGCTCTAAAGATGGAGATGATGGCTATAGAGAGTTAATTAGCTCCGAGGGAGAAGTCTATAATAATTAATCTTCTACACTAATACTATTGGCTATTGTGCATGGTCGTCTGGTTTTGCCTCTGTAGTAAGGAAAACTTAAACTCTAGTATATATACTCTAATTTCAGAAAGATATGGGTCATCAATCATATCTCATCATTTCAACACAACTGCTAAGACCCAGATGGACAAGTCATTAGCAACTCATGCTAGACTGCATAAGGGTGGGCACATTGAAGATGGCTCACCATTAAGGCTGTGTTTGGTTTGAAGGAAAAAGTAGGGAAAGGAAAGGAAAGGTAGGGAAATCTTTATACCTACCTTTCCTTTTCTTTCCCTACTTTTTCCTTCAAACCAAACATACTGTAAAGACAACTTTTGGGGCTTGAAAAAGTTATAGTGTTAGAGTTTCAGATCATCAAAACTTAATGGTGGGTAGGCTTCTACTATGTCTTGGATGAGCCATAGAGCCAAAAATTCAACAAAGCATTTAATTACAACAGCCCAAGGTTTGCCACTTTCCTTGCTTTTCATATTGATCACTAGCAATATATATATGCACGTGCAAACTATTTCAAATAATATTAATAATTTCAATATTAAAAGGATAAGTAATATAAGCATGGTGTGTTGGTGTGTTTAGATTTTATATTTCATTTTCATTGTTGATATAAATATTTTTTATTTATTACATTTATTTATTTTAATATGATAAATATATGATATTAGAGTTGTGCACAAATTTTATAAACAATTTTTTGTGTTTTCTATATTTTTATTTCTATCTATTTTTTGAGTTTTTATTATATAATTATGACACCATGTTCTGCCCTATTTGACTTGAGAAAAGAAAAAATAATCTCATTTTTGGGTAGCATTAAATTTTTATTCCATTTACATAATTAATTCTAGATATAATTCTTGTTTATCACACTTAATTTTTGTTGGATATAATGAGTTTATAATATCTTAGATATCTCAAAAATTTCTATAAATTTTATGTATTTTTATCTATATTTAAGTTTTTATTATTTAATTATGACATCATCAGTTAACTCATTTACCCAAATGATTGGACCATTATGATGCAAGTGAAGTAGGTTGGTCTGAATTTAAGCTTAACCTAGGTCCAACCCTATGCATTGGACCTAAGGCTTTAAATCAAAGTCAAAGCTTAGCCTATTCAACTTGGGCCCAACCTCTAACCTGCATTGAAATTTGATGCACTCAGGTTAGTCTTGGACTTAGGTCTACCAGTTAGCCTTATGACAAAATTTAACATAAAATGTATGTATATAATTGTATATACATGGATGTGTGCAATTATGTTACTATATATGTATATAATCAGGCTTGACTTTATCTACTTAAGGGGTAGGATTTGGCCCAACCCAAAAAATAAAAAAATCCAAATTTTTGAACTTAGGCCTAAGCTTAAGTTGAACACCGAAAATCAAAGCTAGCTTGTCTAAAATTACAAGATAGGTCAATTCAAGCTTGAGTTAAGCCCTCCTAACTTGCCTCTCTGTGGACCATTGACCATTAGTTAGATGCAAAAACAATTTTCTTTTTAAGTTAGTTTAGTTTTTAGTTCTATTTCTATCATTGATAAAAATAACTCTTATCTATCACACTTATTTTTCTTTAATATGATGAATACATAAGATTAAAGATGCACCCAAATGTTTTTTTTTTTAATTTCTATGTTTTTAATAATTTTTATTTCTCTATATTTTTTTAAATTTTTATTATTTATTTATGACATCATGGGTTGATCCATTTTGACCTAAAAGGTTAAATCGTTGACTCACCACTTGAATATGAAAATGGTTTCGTTTTTGGGTTAATCTTAAATCTTGTATTTCATTTCCATCAAATAAAAATACTTTTATTTAGCATGCTTAATGTTGTTTGATACGATAAAGAGATAATATTAGAGATGTGCCTAAACGTTTTCACAAATTTTTATTATAATTTTTGTAATATTTATATTTAAGTGTGAGAACATTGGTTGACACATTGATGCCGATGGTTGAACTATTCACTTGCCACTTAAACAAAAGGGTGGTTATTTAATTATTTTTTATGTTGGTTTTTGAACATATGCTTTACATTATTAGAAAGGGCAAATTTATTAAACTACCCCTAAGGTTTAGAAAATTGACTAACTATACCCCTATTGTTTCAGTATTGCCTTAAAGTACTCCTACTCTTTCTGACAATTGTCGCCATTATTAAATCATAACAGAAAAAAAAAAAACATAAAATGTTGAATTTTCCCTTCATTGTTTCTCAAATTTTTAGAATAAAACTCGATTGTTGAAAAAATTTCACTGCCACCGTCGTTGCCATCTTTGTTCTTTACATGGCATTTTCCGGTTGATCAATGTTGCTAACTAGGAGAAGAGATTAATGACACGATCCAAATGGTCGAATCTGATACCAAAAAGTCTATTAATTTCATGATGAAGTTGGAGGAATTAAATCATCAAATTTGTTTCTAATCATTTGTTTTCTTCCCTCGAATATGAAGCCCTCTACTAGCTTCGCTCGAAAGATTCCAAATGAGGCATGCTGATGCAATTGCACTGTGAACAATTAAGGAGAAGAAAGAACTCAAGAGCAACATTCTCGTTGCAACCTCAAAGGAGAGCGAACTAGATTCAATCGAGAACGTTGGATTTCAAGAAACAGTGGTAGACGATTCTCTTGAGCATATATATAATGACAGCATTGTCTGCCAAGTAGATAGGTCTTATGCACCATGTCATGATTGTATCCGGGTTGGATCGAGTTTAATTATGAGAACCACTTCGTAACGAGTTCGGATCTCCTACTAGCTTTAATCTACTCTCCTCTCTACTAACCCAATTAAAATACACCACCTGTCCCTATGTAGAATGTATTGGTGAGAAACAAAACTACTTTAAATAAAGTATCTAAGGAAAGAGAATGAGAGTTAATACCTTAATGACAAGAAATTTAATTCAGTGGAGTGCATTAGTACTTTAAATTGCATTTTTTACCTACATTGTTAAAGAGGGATTAAATTTATAAATAGGGGTGTGTTAATTAAGAAAAGAGCACAAAACTCTTTTATTTAATGTGCCTTAAGTATAAGATTTAATGAAAGGAAATGTGATTTAATACCTTAAATATAAGACTTAATGATGAGAAATATATTGAATTTAATAAAAGTATCAGTTCAAATTATGTTTTTTGTCCTCATAAATATAAGAAGACCAAGTTCAAAGAGTAAGAGTAGTTTAGTCAAAAAATCCAGAAACTAGACCTCATTCATACTTTTAATAATAGCATAGATTAAGTGGTGAATCCACTGAAACTCAGATATAAGAAAAGTTATATCAACGTAAGGATTACATCCCCTCAACTGCACTGACTCTCACCTAAAGAATGGATGAGCCATAGATCAGCTAAAAGCTACAGGTGTTAGCCCGACTAAACTTACTGTTTTCTTGAGATATTTAGAGGAAATGGGTTTACTACTTTCATCACTTTTTAATTAATTATGAATCTGTTCAAATGCAAACTATGATAAATATTTCTCAAGGTTGTATCCTGTATGCAACCCTTCTCTATGACAAATATATGACGGAATATCTGACATTGTTAAATTTTAATTAATATTTCTAAAGGTTAGATATATGTTGTAATTTGTCACTGAGAATGCATCTTTATAGAGTTCTTTTTCTTTCTTTTTAACTGAAAATAGTCAAATGCATTTGCACAACCCCTAAAAGATTATTTTTGGTAAAAATTTGCCATTTTTACTGAAAATGAAAGTAAATTTGTTTTCTTTACTAACATTTTTGCATTCATAATAGGAACAGATTTTGTTTTCAAAAAGAAATAATGAAGCAAATTTTTGCACTCAAAGTTGATTAATGTAAAAAAAGCTAGTTAGATTGCAGTTTTGAAATTCGTGTTTGTACCCATCACAACTGATACAACATTTATTAATCCATAAACAGCACACGGAGCTTGCATTCCCACTTCTTGACCAAAGTAAGTTTGCATTTACATCAATACAAATGTTTTTTGCATTCTTACCAAATGCAGCATTATTTACATCAATCATGGGATGGTGCAAAGTTTGTATTTATATATTTTGATTGCAAACATGAATTTCAATGCACGTTTACATTCTTTTTCAAGGGAGAAACTTGTATCTCAAACAAATGAATACAAAATTTAACTAGAGTGCATATTTCCACCGGTTTTTGCATAACAAATAAACACAATCTAAAGAAGGGACAGAAACTAAGTTCAGGTTAGGTATCCGGACCTTCCTCAACCCAAGCCAGGGTGCAACTTTGGCGGGCTTAGGTTGGGGTTAGGGGTGTCAATTGATAGGTTTTGGTTTGGATCCAATCTGATCCAAATCTTATCAAATCAGATCTGGATGGTCCATTATAATTATTGGATTGGGGCAATCCAAAATATATTGGTCCATATTCTTATTTGTTTGAATTAGACCTAAACCAAATTTCCAATAATCCGATCATTAGGCCAAATCCTTGTCCAATTTGAAATCAATCAAAATTGAAAACAGCATAAAATCACTTTTATAAAAGTACTTTTACGAAAATATTTTTACAAAAGCACTTTTGCAAAAGTAATTTTCTGAAAAGTATTTTTACGAAAGCACTTTTATAAAAATACTTTTACAAAAGCATTTTTACAAAAATACTTTTATGAAAGTACTTTTACAGAAGCAGTTTTATAAAAGTACTTTTATAAAAGCACTTTTGCATGAAAGCACTTTTATAAAATCACTTTTACAAAAAAAAACTTTTACGGAAGTACTTTTATGAAAGCACTTTTGTAAAAGCACTTTTAGAAAAATCACTTTTATGGAAGAACTTTTACAAAAAAAAATTTATAAAAGTACTTTTCTGAAAGCACTTTTATAAAAACACTTATACGAAAGTACTTTTATAAAAGTATT